TACTAAAAATTAAAGTTATTTTCGATATTCTCTTCTTCAAGCAAACGGTAGATTGGAACCGTGGAAAGATGGTGTTGCCAAACTCTGGAATCCTTGGGAGGATGCTGTCAAACTTTGGAACGAAGATGTTGCCAGATCCTGGAACCCTAGGATGATGTTGCCAAACCCTAGCTCTCAAATAGCGATGGTGTATTCTGATTTTCTGAGAGTAGGTTTAGTAACCCGTATGTGAGAGTATTTATAATAAAAAAGAGAAACCGTCCATCACGATTTTTCTGCCACTTCTCACGTATATTTTGAATGTGATAGACTTAATGGAAGAAAAGTGGGCCAAAATTTTAGGTTAGTTTAATTATATAAGATAATTAAAAAATAATCAAAATTCAAATATGATTAATTAATTAATTAAACTAACATTCTCCCACTTGGCCCACTCAAACCATCACAACATAACGAGAAACCTTACATACGAATTATGGCGGTAGGTCTTCTATAAACGAATGTTACCTTCCATGTATCACGATATGTAAAGCATCTCAAATTAAATTCACAATCTTAATGAGTAAATCATATATTTATTCCGGGTCAAACATAAGCGAGTTTTCTCAATAATAAACAAATATGTGCACAATAAAGTGAGAAAACATCAAATTGAATAAGAGTCTCAAATAACAATGTGCGCAAATAAACTACATTGTAGAATCAAGTCTCATACTTGCTACGTGATCCCTCAAATTCTTTAGTGGCATGCCTTTAGTCAAGGGATCAGCAAGCATCAACTCTGTACTAACGTGTTCAATCACCAGTTTATTTTCCTTGACACGTTATCTTAAGGTTAAATACTTGATGTCGATGTGTTTACTTCGACTCTCACTTTTATTGTTTTTAGCCATAAACACCGCAGCAGAGTTGTCACAGTACAACTTGATCGGTCTAGAAATAGAGTCAACGACTCTAAGCTCGGATATGAAACTCTTCAGCCATACACCATGCGAGCTAGCCTCGAAACATGAAACAAACTCAGCCTCCATAGTGGAAGTAGTAGTGATAGACTGCTTTGCACTTTTCCAAGAGATAGCTCCACCAGCCAACATGAACATATAACCCGATGTGGATTTTCGAGTGTCAATGCAACCAACATAGTCCGAATCGGAGTAGCCAATCACTTCCAGGACATCAGTTTGTCTATACATGAGCATGAAATCCTTCGTACCTTAAAGGTACCTCATATAACATCCCTTTATCATTAGTTGCAAGCAAAATATCATCCACGTACAACTCAAGGAAGCAAATACGACTCCCACTAACCTTCTGGTATATATAGTGATCTATGACGTTTTCTTCAAAACCGAATGAAGAGATAACATCATGAAATTTCAAATACCATTGGGGAGGCTTGCTTCAATCCATATATGGATTTATTAAGCTTACAGACTAAATTTTCTCACATTCCTGCATCAATAATTTTTCATCCTCTTGAACACACATAGTCATCAATTCATTGATGAACCATTTATCTTTATGTGTATTGTAGGATAATGTCCCGCATCCGCATTATGTGCTCGCGCACACCCCTCACACCCGTGAATCTCATGGTGGAGAACTGAATGACTGGCATAATCAATGTCCATCCAACCTAAATGAAGGAGGATCTATTCTTCCAGATTTCGTAATTATCACCAGTCAATTCAGGGACATCACACTTAAAGTCAGAGAAATTCATAGGATTAAACGCTCCAAAATTAAATATATATGCTCATCAATGAACGAGACAAGTAAATTACATGTTCTACCAATGTAAACATGCTAAAACATGAATCTAGAGACATAAAACTTGCCTGTGGGCTAAAGTTTTACTCAATTAGATTTCATCAAAAACTTTATAATAAAACTATCAAATTGCGTTCCTTTTCTCAATTCCTGTGGGTAGATTAAGAAATACAACTCGATATTTTATCCTAATTATTCATACAAATATGACAAGACTCCTGTGGGTAGATCTCATCACATCGTACATGATAATTACAATCGATGTCTATTAATGTGATTTCAAATAAATCATAAATAAATTTTTAATTAATCGAGAATGTTGTGGCTATTCCCCTATTAAATAAAATTTAAAACAAATCACAGACATCATGAAGATAATCTGAAGTACACATGTATATAAGCTATTGAGTCATCCGAATGTGAATTTATAAAATAAATTAGCAATCTTATTACAAGTCATCGAACAACATCAGCAATTGTCTTTGGACAAATTACTGACTCGCCAGTGATAAATTTGTTTTGACATTCGAAAGTTGACAATACGTAGTGTGTCGAACAATACTCCATCTTTGGACAAATCTATTTTTTACACACAAATAACCAAATTATTATCACCACATTCAATGTCATTAAACATGCATGCAACTACTTAATCGCTGACTTGCCTTTGGGTCAATCAGCAACTTTATAAATTACATACACAACCTCCTAACATATAAAATAAACCGATCTACACAGCAGAGACTGCTTTGGCAACATTACTGTTTCAACCAATTCATAAAATACATTATGCTCTTTATTGCTAATTAAATTCACCTTAAAATAAACTATGCATATCCAATATATATGAAATCTATAACAACAACAATTAATTTATGGACTCATCAAAATAATCAAATAGTCCAGAAAATACTAAATGCAACGGAATCACACAGACAAAAATATGTCACTCAAACAGACTATAAATTTAATATAATGAATATTTATAGTCGAATTTGCACAAATAAGTATTATCGAAAATACATGTTACTCTATTCCAAATTTAATTTAATCCTCAAATGGATCATAATTAATCTGATCAGCAATAAATTAAATAAATATGGTCTGTTCTGGGCAAATACTCTGAATTTCATAAAAATAATTCGGTAATAATGAATAAATAAACAAATTCTGCACGTATTAAATCTAATTGCAGATACAATATCATACGCACATTATTTAATAAATTATGCAATCATTAAATTGAATGCATGTATATCAAATAAATGTCAATCTCGACCCAAACAATCGATTAAATAAATAAATTAATCTAATCATAATGCCAAAATTGGTATAGAGATTAAGACATAATCCTTGATTCCAAAATATATAAATAAATAATAGTCATTAATTCGCAATTGCTCACCAAATGCAATTGATTGCAGTCAAATAAACATAGATGCAAATATTAAATGTATAAATAAATAGACACCCCTATATAATTTATTTTGGTGTCAACAAACACATGTATTTAATTCAAATTATAATATATGTGTAAACTTAACGTGAATCACATAAATCCAGCAATTATATTGAGGAACTTATCGAAGTCTGAAAATTCATAAAAAGAGGTTGCCCACATACTTCAAACTAATAATACTTCTCGGGCATAATAGGAAGGAATTCATATATATATATATGTATATATATTGCACCCAAACCGAACAGACATAGATGATTCAGAATTAAATTTAATATTCTGATTATTTAATTGAACTTCCATCCAATCTGATCAAAACGTCTCATGATATTTATATCTATATATATATGTCCATATGATTGCAGGATCAGATCTTGATCAAGAAATATCGCAAAGCAATTGTTGAAAATAAAAAACCAAAATATTTTCAAATAAGAAATTAAAGTGAATCTTCATCAAGAATTTGACGAGAAGAAAATTCAAAGCAAGGCAGAGGCAAAAATTGCTCTGATACCAAATGTTAGAAAATAAACATATAATCAAATATGTTAGCGGAAGCGGAATTTGAACAAACCTCCAGCCATTACTAAAAATTAAAGTTATTCTCGATATTCTCTTCTTCAAGCAAACGGTAGATTGGAACCGTGGGAAGATGGTGCTGTCAAACTCTGGAATCCTTGGAAGGATGTTGTCAAACTTTGAAACGAAGATGTTGCAAGATCCTGGAACCCTAGCATGATGTTGCCAAACCCTGGCTCTCAAATAGCGATGGTGTATTCTGATTTTCTAATAGTATGTTTAGTAACCCGCATGCGAGAGTATTTATAATAAAAAAGAGAAACCGTCCATCACGATTTTTCTGCCACTTTTCACGTATATTTTGAATGTGATAGACTTAATGGAAGAAAAGTGGGCTACAATTTTAAGTTATTTTAATTATATAAGATAATTAAAAAATAATTAAAATTCAAATATGATTAATTAATTAATTAAACTAACACGATTAAGTAAAAACTAGCATATATATATATATTGTGTTTCTTTTGAGTGAGTGAGTTTGTCGAAATTTGATTTTAATTTGATACCAAAATAATAAATATATATATTTTTTGAAACGCAAAATCAAATACACTATCTTGATTTGAATTCAAATTGTCGCGACCCAATGCCCCAAAGACGTTCTTATCACTTTCACACTTGTTTCCCTGCACCACGTGTGGAAGCACAAGCAAAAGCCGCCTCCAATGTTGATGTACATACAAACAAACTAACAAACATATAATATATCGGTGGTGTTTCAGTATTTTATTCCATAAAATATACAAATGATATATCAACGGAATGCATATAATTTTAATTTTTAGTATAATATAAGAAATAAAAATAAATATTTGATTTGATATTTTTTTAAAAAAAAATTTGTATAAATAGTATTCTCTCCATCCACTTGTAAAGTTTATATTTATTTTTTGCATATTGATATTTAATATTAATTATTATATTAAAATATAATACAGATTAAGAAAAAATGGTAAAAATATGTATCTTATAATACTAATAGAATGATGTTTATATAAAAAATTATATAAATATAAAAATATTTTTAATATTAAGTACAATATGAAGAATGTATAGAAGGGAGAGTATTAATTTTTCTAACAAACACATCCTTCATGTATTATTCGTTAATAATACGCGCGACAGTGCTAAATAAAATAATTTAACACTATACAGCCTCTAGAGCATATATATATACATATAGAGAGAGAGAGAGAGAGAGAGAAATAGAGAGAGAGGAGCAGTAGCACTAGTATTTTTACCCCTTTTTCTAGATCTCCATGACTGACTCTGGTAGTGCTTGAGGTCGATCCATCGAAGAACAACAACACCACCAAATTCTCCAAATTAGGTTTTCCTACGTTAAAAAAAGAAAAAAATGATAACAGGAAAGGACATCTACGACGTGCTGGCAGCGATCATCCCGCTGTACGTGGCGATGATCCTGGCGTACGGGTCCGTCCGGTGGTGGAAGATCTTCACCCCGGACCAGTGCTCCGGCATCAACCGGTTCGTGGCGGTGTTCGCCGTCCCCCTCCTCGGCTTCCACTTCATCTCCTCCAACAACATCTACGCCATGAACTTCCACTTCATCGCCGCCGACAGCCTCCAGAAGGTGGTGATCCTCGCCGCCCTCTCCCTCTGGCACTGCCTCGGCAACTCCGCCACCCTCGAGTGGCTCATCACCCTCTTCTCCCTCTCCACCCTCCCCAACACCCTCGTCATGGGCATCCCCCTCCTCCGCGCCATGTACGGCGACTTCTCCGCCAACCTCATGGTCCAGATCGTCGTCATGCAGAGCGTCGTCTGGTACACCCTCATGCTCTTCATGTTCGAGTACAGAGGCGCCAAGCTCCTCATCTCCGACCAGTTCCCGGAGACCGCCGCCTCCATCACCTCCTTCAAGGTCGACTCCGACGTCATCTCCCTCAACGGCCGCCAGCCGCTGCAGGCCGACGCCGAGATCGGCGACGACGGCAAGCTCCACGTCGTCGTCAAAAGATCCGCCTCGGCTTCATTAATCTCCTCCTACAACAAGGAGATGCACTCCTCCGGCATGACGCCGCGGGCCTCGAACCTCACCGGCGTCGAGATCTACTCCGTTCAATCCTCCCGCGAGCCGACCCCCCGCGCCTCCAGCTTCAATCAAACCGATTTCTACGCCATGTTTAACAGCAAGGCCGCCAGTCCCAAGCACGGCTACACGAATAGCTTCGGCGGGGATATTTTCTCGTTGCAATCGTCCAAGGGGGCGACGCCGAGGACATCGAATTTTGACGAGGAAATGATGAAGGTTGGGAAGAAGAGAGGCGGGGGCGGCGGTCGGAGTATGAGCGGGGAGCTGAGCACTCAGGGCTCGTACCCCCCGCCCAATCCCATGTTCTCCGGCGGGCCCCGGAGAAAGGATAGTGGCAATATGAGCAACATCAATAATCATCATACCGGTAGCAATCCGAACAAGGAGCTTCACATGTTCGTTTGGAGCTCGAGCGCTTCGCCGGTGTCCGAAGCCAACATGAGAAACGCCGTCAATAAAGCCGCCTCGTCGGACTTTGCAACGCTCGATGCCGCTGCGAAAGCGGTTTTGGAAACTCCCACTAGAGGTGGAAAATAAAAGACATCCTTTCTATCGTTCTGCTTACACAATATTTTTCAATAAAAAGATCTCTGTTTTCAAAATTTTCAAATTTTTTCAAAACTTGTATAGACAATTCAAAAACCGTAGTCGAGGACAAGACGGAGAATGAAATCGAGGAGGCGGGGAAGTTTCCGGCGAACGCGTCGCCGTACTCGTGCCATAAGAAAATGGATCCGGAGGAGGGAGGAGCGGTGGAGGGAAAGAAGACACAAATGCCGCCGACGAGCGTGATGACGAGGCTTATACTCATCATGGTTTGGCGTAAACTTATCCGAAATCCCAACACATATTCCAGCCTTTTAGGCCTCATATGGTCACTTGTTTCCTACAGGTTTGTCCTAAACACGTCTCAATTACCACGAATTAACCATAGCTTATAAATTCCGTCACAAATTTGCTAGAGATTTTCGTGTGGCATTAGCTTATTATAGATTAGTCTGTTGATGGATTCTCATTTGTAGATAAATAAATAAATGATACATATTTCTATTAGTTTAAACTTTTAGATGAAACGGCCATTTACATCGTCTAACATTGTCCAAAATCTGTCTATCGTGTAGGTGGAACATCGAAATGCCTTCCATTGTCAAAGGATCGATTTCGATCTTATCGGATGCAGGCCTGGGCATGGCCATGTTCAGTCTAGGTAATAAATAATAAAAAGATAAAAATTAATGTTGTTAAGTTTGGAGAAATGAAGGAATGCTGTAGTAATATATATGTTGTTGGCAATGGCAAGGACAGGTTTGTTCATGGCATTGCAGCCGAAGATCATAGCGTGTGGGAAGTCAGTGGCGACATTTTCGATGGCGGTAAGATTCTTGACGGGCCCCGCCGTCATCGCCGCCACCTCCATAGCGATCGGCCTCCGCGGCGTTCTTCTGCACGTAGCCATTGTTCAGGTAAACGCCGACCGCCGGAATATTCTTGCGAATATCCCAATGGTTAATTAATGCAGGAATCTTAATTATTATAATTATTATTATGTGAATCTTAATGTAAGCAATAAATACTAATTAATTAATTAATTAATTGTTGAATGGCGAACAGGCGGCACTCCCGCAGGGAATTGTCCCCTTCGTGTTTGCAAAGGAATACAATGTGCATCCGGATATACTAAGCACTGCGTAAGTTTTACCTTTCTTTTTGGTTTTTGAATTAGGGAAGCCAAACACGCCCTTAGATCCCAATCGTTGCATTTGCTGCATGTAGGAAAAAAAATTAGTGGCGCGCTGGCGTTTTAAATTATTACTATTATTGTTAAATAGAAAATATATTTTCAATTTAATATATATTTTTTAAAAGGATTATTTATATATATATATATATATTAGATATTAGATAGAGAAAAAATACGATAAAAAAATACAAATAAACATAAAATTTTGGATTCGAATAGTTTATAGTATCAATTGAGTTTTACGTAAAAGAATTAGAATAATAATGATAGTTGATTCATTTACTCTAATGACAACCCATTTCCAAAACCAATGTTCTATTTATATATTAACGTTTTAGAGGTGTTTTATAATTTCAAAAACAATAAAAAAGTGAATAAAACATAAATATTTTATAGGATATAAATATGTGTAACATGTAATGTTTGATATAAAAATATATTTCTTAATTTTATTTTTAAATAAAAACAAATATTTGATAATGATACTTTAAAAATATATATGTATATACTTCTTCAGTTCCATATAATTTTTCTTTCCTCTAAAAAAATAATTATATATTTTAATCACATTTTAATTTAATAACTTATAATTTGTTTAATTTTAGTTAAATTAATTGTTTATTTTGAACTTATTTTATAATTAGTTGTATTAATACAATAATTATTTTTATTAATATATTTTTTTATTATTTACTGATTATACACTTACTAAATTCTCATATCTAAAAAAAATAAAATAAAAAAATGGACAACTAAAATGGGAAAGAGGGAGGGAGTACATAACTATTAATAAATAATATTTGTTAAAAATATTTTAAAAATTATGTAAGAAAGCCTAAAAGTAAGAGTTTTCTTGTTTGTCTTCTAATTTTTTTTATTATTAGTTTTTTCTTAAGAGTTGTTTTGAAAATAACAATAGCCATCATTTATGATCCACTACAAGAAAAAATTATTTTTTCAACAAAACTTTTTTGTTTCTAAATCTATTTTTTCCGTTACTAATGACATTAGAGACGAAATTAGGAATGAAATTACGTTGGAATTCTTTTATTTATTTATTTATTTTTTTGTAGTGTATGAGGTGCTTATTTTGTAACTGACTTATTTATGCAGGGTTATTTTCGGAATGCTGATAGCTTTGCCGATAACAATTTTATACTACGTGCTGCTGGGGCTGTAAGGTCGTGTTTGGATGGTGCAGAAAATGAAGAATTTGCTATATTAAAGAAGTGATATAGTACCATTAATTAATTAATTGGTAGATGAGACAAGAGCAGATGAGAAAAAGAGTAATTAATTTTGGGCATCGGAATCAGTGTAGTGTACAAGTTGGAACTCATGGTATTCGTATGCTATGCTGTCCAGTCCTGCACATCATGGTATTCATATGCTATGCTGTCCAGTCCTGCACATCATGGTATTCGTATGCTATGCTGTCCAGTCCTGCACCATGTGCCTGCCTGCCTGCCTGCCTCCTCTCATCTTACTTGCACCCTTTTCTTTATTTCTATTCTATTTTTATGTCTCTTCTTCTCTTTTAACCAATTCTTTAGATTTAGATTTAGATTTTTTTTATTTTTTATTTTTATAATTTTCAGTGTTATTTGTTAGGAAATGCATTGAAGAATCTCTAGAAATGTTGTAATATCAAAGGGCTGCTTTTACTATTTGTTTACTTTTAATTTGTACTTTTGTTTTTCTTATTTGGGTGTTCATAAACTATAGATATATATATATATATATATTATTATTATTGAATAAGGAAAAACGACAGTTTGGGTACTGATTTAATATAATTAGATCTTGCTAATAGTATAGTAATATGCATTAAAAATATATATATATATATACCATACAAATTTATTATATATAATAGAACTAACAATACATACTAATCTATATATCTATTACATATGTTGCATATTATATTTTTATATTTTATTTATGAAATTTTTATTTGCTAATTATATTTTGATTTCAAGTCCGATGTTTAAAGTCGGCACATTCTAGCACCGGACAACCTTCTTAAATAAGAAAAATATTCATATACATATATTAAATATTCAACTCAATAAAAATTTTGTTAGACGAGAATCTTTTAAAACTCAAGAATATTTTAACTTTTACACATATACTATATTTATCAAATATAAATATTATTATTAGTATTTAATAATCATACAAAAAATAAATATATTTATAGGTAAGGAGAGAGTAGTTATCTATAATGTTTTAATTAAAAAAAAAAAAATTATTTTATGAAGCAATGTGAATACTGTATAATAAATAAAATCAAAGTATAAACACGTACGTTCAAATCCTCACCTTCTGCATGTTTCCTATTTACTTGCCTTGTTGGACCTAATTTACAGGTTATTAGGTTCGATGGAATGTTTACTCAAAGTGCATTCATTAAGTAACGGCCGTGAATTTCTACATTATATAAAAAAAAAAAAAACAAAAAATCTAAACACATCATCATCTACAAAAAAAAATTAAATATATATATATATATAAACACATCCATCATCTACAATTTTTTTTTTTAAAAAAACACTTTATCCAAATAATTTCATAAATTTTCAAAATACTGAAAGAATATAATTATTAATTTTTCACACAAATGATACTGTTAAGAAATTAAAAATAAATATAATTTTTTGAATATAATTGAATAGAACAAACTTCACAGTAAAATTCAATTAAAGACACTTTTTATTATTTCTTAGCATCTGCGTATATAATAATAATAATAATAATTTAAAATATCTTTAACCGACATATAAGGCCCTATATTTAGAAAGTTGCTTTTATATAATAAATATCTAATTATAAAGATATATATATATATATGCATATTTTAAAATTTATTTAAATATAATATATTTGTATTAGACAGAAGACCGTATTATAAATGGATATTAGATAATATATTGTTTCCACTTTTTAACGAATTATTTATTTTTTTATATTGGTATATCCTATAATTAATTATTTATTTTCTGTTTATTTAATATTAAAAATATTACTAATCGCCTTATAAATACGATGGAGTTTCCTGTGTATTTATGATTTAGTTTTTTTTAGTGAAATAATTGTTGAATGAAATTGAAAAGATATTGTATAGTAAAATAATAATAATAATAATTGTGTGTTCATCAAATATTTTTTTACTATTTTTTCGAAAATATTTAAAAATATATAGTCTCTTCATCCTTTAACAATCTATTCATTTTTTCTATTTTAGTCTATTTCATAACAAAATATTTATTTCATATTTTTAGTAAGTGTACTTTTTACTTAACATTACAACTACCATTCCAACTTACAATATATTATACAAATGTTATTACTTTTACATCACACCACGCAATACTAATAAGATTATTTTAGTCTTTTTTTACTTTATTTATATTACATCTCAATATAATACTAATATTTCTAAAATTTCGAGTAAAAAACAAATGTATTAATAGATATGAGACGAAGGGAGTATAATAGTAGTATATACACATAATTACATAATATATATTCTATCTATTCACACAAAACCAACAATTTAATATAAAAAGTATTTACTTTTAAAAATACAAAGAGTAGACATAAATTTCAAAATAGGACTAATAAAAAAAAAAAATCATACATGAACAAAATCTTAGTATGTGTTCTTTTGGAGTTTTAATTTATTTTCCAATTTGAATAGCTGTTTAGATATAAAATTTCATACGAGGAATAATGCATTTTTTTTTAAAAAAAAAAAAAAAAAGAATCACGATAATTGAATATTAAATGAAGTTAAATCAAACTTTAAAAAAAATAAAAAATCTTAATAGTATTTTGTGAAGTGAAGTAATTATATTAATACTACTCTCTTCATCCCGTGTCTGCTACACTGTAGACACGGTATTTTAGAAGGAGTGTAATTAGTAGATAATTAATAATGTATTAGTGAAAATAATTATCCTATAATTATAAATTAAGATTAAGATGACTAATTAATTTAATTAAAATTAAAAAAAATAAAAATTTAAAATGAGATTAAAGTGTGTAATCATTTTCCAAAAAAAAAGAAAATAACATGGTATGTGGGACGGACAGAAACGGCAACGTGAATATGATATCTGAGACGGAGGGAGTATTATTTAATTAAATGTATAGGTAGACTGTCGACAATATATCTAATTCCTGACAAGATGCAAAAGATGCTGTTCAAATGTTCCTACAAGTGATTGTAAATTAATTGTACGAATTAGCGACAAGATCTTATTACACGCCAAGTCAAACAAGAAAAATTAGGATGTTTGAATTTTATTTTATTTTATTTGATTAGGGTTTGATTTCATGTGAATTTTTTACATGGCTTTACAACTATTATTACACATAAATTAATTTAATTTCAGTAAATGTCTGACAAATATTAATTATGAATAACGTGTGGAGGTAAGTGACCGTTTGCTCATCATATCATGTGGCTATATAATGATTAAATCAAAAACTCTGGAACATAAAATTTAAAGGTAAAATTACTTATAATTCTCGTGTGGTTTCGAAATTCAGCGTAAAATCTTTCCATATTTTAAAAATTGTATGGTACATTCTTATACTTTAAAAAACGTTGCATAAAACTCCACCACCATGAAACTTTCCTCATGTGATAAAAAAATGATTTTCTATCTATATGTTTTGCATGACAGAGGGTTTTATACAATATCTTTGAAAGTATAAGGGAGCGTCATGCAATTTTTTAAGGTAAAGTGAGGATTTATGCTAAGTTTCGAAACCACATAGTGGTTTCATGCAACATTTTTTAAAATATAAGGCGACATCATACAATTTTGTCTAATTTCAAGTAGAGAGGAGATTTACACTGAGTTTAGAAACCACAAGGGAGTTATGGACAATTTTGTCTAATTTAATAATATATATATATATATATATATATAATTGTGCTTTGGGAAAGGGTAAGGGTGAGTTGAATACTTGCAATGCCAACAATGTTCATTAATTAGCTTTCATATTACTTAAGGTACGTATTGCATATATTATGAAATTTAATTTATTGGAGCAGATTATGTGCTGATGCTACTTATCTCCTTTCTCCTATGTCAATACTTTATATGCATATTTATATATAAACACGTGGATTTGTTTTGTTTGGTTTAAATTTGAATTATTTTTAATTCAATTTTGATTTAAATAGTATTTGAATAATATCTTGTAAAAAAAATAAATAAATTAGTACTAAAAAATAATGCAAATTAAATACTCTTTCCATTTCATAAGAAGGGTATAATGAATTTTTTGCGTATAAATATTTGAATATTAATTATTATATCAATTTGTAGTACAAATTAAGAAAAAAAGACAAAAATATTTTTATTAATTTCTTATAATACAAATACAATAATACTTATAAAGTAAATTATATAAATATAAAGATATTTTTAACGTTAAATATAATAACTTAAAAAAAAAAAAAAAACCATCTCATGAGAGGGAGGTAGTACTTTTATTTTAAGTTGAAACCAAAAGTAAATAAATATATTTAATGTGTGTTCATTTATGCCAATATTTTATCTATACATATATTATGATTCATTAAAATTTGTATCACTAGAAGTGTTGTATATATTATGATTCATTAAAATTTGTATCACTAGAAGTGTTGTATATTTTAAAAATATTTTTATTAATATATTATTTGTTTTACAAATATAATATTCAATCATTATTTAAATAAAAATATAAGGCACAAAAACAAATACAAACCAAACACATCCATATTCATTGTACTATGTAATCTTAATTTTGGTTTATTGAATATATTTGTCTGCTTTTAAATATATTTGGTAGTATTTTAATATTTAATATGTTAGGGTGTGTTTGATTTGAATTTTAAATATAAATTAATATTATGTAATTCTCAATAATAATATATTATTTTTTAATAATATATCATATCAAAATATTGTTAAAACATGACCAAATGAACCCTAAGACCATCTTATAAATAAGAAATATTAAAAGCCATACTTCTTTAGTGATTAAAATACAAAAATATTGGTTAAAACCATAAGTTATAAATAATATAAAATAAATCAAATTCTTGTAGATAAAAGAGAGATATTATCCGCTTGAGGGCAAGGTCCTGAGTTTGATGTCGGGTGGGTGGTGTGTGGGGTAAAAAATATAAAATAAAAAGAAAAATTAATTTTTTTTTTTTTCATCTAATTGAAATTTTTGAGTGTAGTTTTTCCTTTTTTTTTTTTTTTTAAAGGGAAATGATTGAAAATCTGATTTTGCATTTTTCGTTCAATTGAACCAAGCAGCAAATATCAACTTTTAGTTACTATGAATTTAAACACTCCTTCCCAAAAAACTTATAGGTTGTGTTTTTTTCTACTATTCAAATTCTTTGTTTTCTTTCAAAAAAGATCAAATTAAACAATAGTTTTTTATTTTATATTATACTACAAATTTATATTAAATGAAAAACATTACATAAAACACTTATTTATAGGGGCAACTTGGATTAAAATCCCTCTAACTTATAAAATATTTAAGTTCAACTCCTATTTATTTTAAGAAGACACTGCATTATCTACATTTCATTTCCATTTACATTTGACTTCCTAGTATCAATTTTACCTCTGAAATATCAATGGCGGCGGCTACAGTGCTGAA